TATATATTATATATATACTTACTAACTAACTACATATATATATATATATATATATATATATGTATATTTGTATATAAATATAAATATAAATATACCAACTGTATTAGCGGTACAACCAGTGCTATTACCTCTCCCCAGTAGGCGACGGATGAGAAGGTCCAGTTGACTAGTCCAGTGGTTGCTTTATCTTTGAAGCGACCCGTTAGCAGTTGTGATATTGTGCCACATGGTGACTGTAAGAACACCTGTCACGATGGCAGTATGTACAGTCATCTGTGGGTTAGTATATGTTTGCGCCTGTGCTATAGCAACACCAGCCCTCCGTTATCGATACACATCTGTCATATGACATCAAAGATCGTCTGTGTTAAAGACCAATACCAGTGTATAGATACCAGATGAATTTACAGTGCATGTGCGCGGGTGACGCAATTTTACCACTACCTTAAGGGCACCTGCAAGATTAGTACAAAGTGCGTACACACACACACACACACATATATATATATATATATATGAGATGTTACTTCACCCCTCCCTATAGTGTCTTGTTTGCCCACATGTTGAGCATATAGCGTGTATCTGTGTGATATGCAGCCATACCTCGAGTGTTCCCCTGACATCCATGTCCAGATTGACAGTCACAGTCACTGACTCCAACGCAACCACTTCCGACGCAGGGGCGAAGAAGACCGACCACACAACGCTCTCATTGGCCACGCCACTAGACGACCCCATCTCATTGGCTGTGCTATTAATAGACTCCGTCTGATTGGCTGCCTGTGTGGCCGTATCGACCTCACCCTCTGCTTCGTTTGTGACAACACGATCCCCTACTGACTGTCGCCTAAAAACACTACGAGTGTCTTTACCTCCTTTGGTATGTGGCATGGTGTACTCCGCTCCACGCATGTGCCGTGGCTGGTCGTGGTTGCCATGGTTACCAACCCCTTTCGGTGCTTTGTGGGCGTGTCTTTCCTCAAGTGCCTCGGGCGTGTCCTCAAGAGTGTTCTGGCTGTCGTCGTCTGTCTGTGCGGTGTCGTTATTCCGGGACGTGTCTGTGGATAACGGGATGGCTCCATTGCCAAAGGGTAGGTTGACGGTGATGGTGGGCGATGTGGCATTGACGAACCTTCCCCTCAGCCCCTGCCACGACTATACAAAGACACACAGTGGATAGGATAGGATATAGGGTTTAGGGTTTAGGGATTTCTAAGTCAGTGTAATGGAAGAAAGTATAGCCCGTCAATGAGTGTCAAATATACTGACGCAAAGTTTAGAAATGTCTACGAACGACAAAGAGAGAGAGAGATGACACAGACAGAAAGGCAGGCTTCGGAACGTAGACACACAGACACTCCACACACACGCCTAGTACTGGAACGTACATACAGCACTATGCTAGCCACACCCAGGCACACACAACAGTTCATCTACAACAGCCGCACTCACAAAGGTATCAGATATAGCCATAACACATAACACAGCCACACTTAAAAAATTCATCTACAACACTCACAAGGGTATCAGATATAGTCATAACACATAACACAGCAGGTACCTATGCAACATACATTCTCCAAAACCCTAAACCCTAAAACGTACCTGCGCTGTAGTGACCATAGCGTACGCATCCATCAGGCCAAACCCAAACCGGTCGCTGTAGGGCCAGTCCCGCCCATTCACTGTCCAGGACTCGTGGTCAGCGTTAATGTGCACAGACGTGTACACCAACAGATACTGCACGTCTCGCCATGTGAGTGTGTTGTTGGCTTCGAGTACGAGCGCTAGCATCCCTGCGCCCAAAGGAGCGGCGGCTGAGGTGCCTGAGCAGAGGGGAGATGATTGTATAGGAGAGGAGGTTGATAAGAACGGCAATGCGAAGGGGAAGATAGGGATTGTATAGGGGAGGATGCGGAGTGCTTGTAGGACTAGGGAGAAGAACGGCAGGCAATGTGGGGATGGGTTGATTGGGTGGGGTAAGGTCATAGGGATCAGCGAAGCGTAGGGAGTGTTTATAACTGGAGGATGCAAGCCATAACAACGAAAGCACACACACACACACATACACACACACACACATACACACACATA